TCCCCTCTCCCCATGCTGGCTGGTGCGGTGGTGACCAGAAGAGAAGCCAAGACCAAGTGAGTGTGGGGCCCAGGTCAAGGCTGGACGCCAGAGTGGAGGACGCCGGCTGGAGTTGTGAGGCCTGGAGCCGGGTTGGGAGGAAGCCGAGTTGAGCCGGGTGGGAGGAAGCCGAGTGTGCAGGCTGGTTGGGGACCAGGCCACCCAGGAAACCGCCATCCCCAGGGCTGGGGCCCGGTTGCCCCCAGGGAAGACGCTGCATTTGGCTCCGTGGGGGATGCGTTGGCACCAAACCCTGAGGGAAAGTGGCCTCTCCGTCGCTCCTGGACCTGCAGTGGAACATTCCAGCTGTCCCGTGCAGGCTTTCTGAGAATGGGGTGCCTCCCCCACAGCCGGGGACCAGACTCTACCTGGGCGCTCTGTCCCCAGGGACAGGCAGACAGACTCAGGTCCAGTGGGGTCGGCTCAGCCCTGGTCTTTCAGTGCAGGCCAGGAGGACTTACTGCAGGGGGGGGGGGCAGCCCAAGGAAGGAAGGGGGACCGGGAGTTGGGGGAGAAGAAGCATCGAGAGGGGGGCCATGGCCCTCCACGTACGCTCTCTGGGCCCCCCTCACATCTCCCCTGCGTTGTGGGGTCTCCCAGGGCCTGAGACAGGAAAGAGGCACAAAGTGGGGTGCCCGGGAGGAGGGTCTCGTCCCCAAACCCACTTGGGAGCCACCGCGGGCCCAGACCAGGCTCCGTGACCTCCAGCTGCCCCGGGCCTGCGCGCCCCTCCGGCTGGAAGCAGGGCCCCTGGCAGGGAGGGTCCTTCCCGCCTTTATCGCATTGGTGAGATTTCAGGGATGTTTTTTTAATCCGAGTGCTCTGACTTCTCCGGCGATAAGCACGTCAGCCACAGCCCGCGGTACGTGACTGCACGTCCGTGCCTGTGCGCTCGGCGGGGCTGGAATGCGGGGCCTCCCGCGCGGGCTCCGCCGGGGGCGCCCGGCGCCCGGGGCCAGCCCTTCCCCGTCCCGGCCACGTTATTTGTCAGCAATTTTAAGTAAAGCTGCCGGATCACAAGATATTTTCTAGTTTTAAAAAAATGTTTGTGTTTTCATTATGAAAATAAAACACCTCATTAAAGAAAATTTGGAAAATACATAAAAGTCCACTGAAGAAGAAGAAGAAAAAAAAAGTCCATCTATAACTCCCACCCAGCCAGCCAGACTGCGGGAAAGGGGAGAGAAATAAAAAGGCTTATTTCTTCCTACTCTTTCCATGCATTGGGCTCGGAAAAAAAGATTTAAACCCGGAGCTGTTTTTCAAACCCCGGACTGTCTATAGAACCTTGAGTTCTGCTTTTTTAAAAAATGTAGCACCATTCATAAGTATTTTTCCATGTTTTTACACAGTCTTCTTAAATATTTTGAATGGCCACATAATATTCCATCAATCGGACAAACCATAATTTTCCTAACCATTCCTCCAGCGCAGGACGTGCCGGCTGCGCCCAATATTTTACTATCATAAATAACGCTGGGTGGAAAGCATTTTCTGTCTTTCTGGTTATTTCCCTAGGCCCCATTCCCAGAACTGGAATTAATGGGTCAAAGAGTATGAACGCTCTTAAGGCTTTTGACATCCCTGCCAAATGGCTTTCCGCGAGGGGCTTGCCAGCGCGGTCTCGGACGTGGACGTGAGCGGGGCCTGCGCCCCACACCGCTGCCCCAGGGAGCGCTGATGGATGAGAGGGGGCCTCTCAGGGCTGCCTTCCCTGCATTCCTTTGATTACTGCAGGCAAAGCTCCCCTCTGTTTGTTAAACTGGTCCTCTTTCTTCCTTTGGAGAATTGGTGGCTTATGGCCTCTGCCCATTTATCTAACGCAGGCAGCTCTCTGTTTTCTTAATCATCCGTTTGCATAAGGGTATAAGTCTTCTCTGTATTTGCTGAAAATATTTTTCTAGTCTGGGCCGGGCTCTCTTTTCCCCCCTCTCCCATTTCTGCCTTTTTTCACATACATAAGTTTTTCATTTGCGTGGAGTCATCTGGCCACCTTTCCCTCAGCGGGACCTTCTGAGCTCAGAAAACCCTTTCCCGGTCCAGCAGTTTGATCGATATTCAGTTCCACTTTCTTCAACGGCTTGTTTTAAAAAATTGTTGTTGTCGTTTTAACTCTTTGCTCCATCTGGAATGCATTGGAGGAGGGGGAGGGGAGGCTGGCGGCCGCCGGATTGGGGGGCGGGGGGCTCGCTTCTTCTTCAAACCGCTCTCTGCCCAGCCCCCTCCCTCCGGGTCCCCAGAAAGAAAGATGAAAGCGGGGCCACAGAAAGGCAAAGGCCACGGAGACGCGTGACCCCCGCGGCGCCTGCGGTGACCACCCTGCCTCTGGCCTGACCTCCTGGCATTGGTTTATTTGTTTGTCTGTCCCCCTGGACAGACGGGGGTGGAAAAGCCCTTGAGATGGACAGGAGTTGGCCACCCAGAGGGACACTAAGAGGCTGAAACCTTTTCCAGGGGGTCGAGCCACCCCGGGGACAGGGGGTCACACATCTGTTAAGACGAAGGTCAGGGCCCGGCCGGCGAGGCTCTGTTGGTTGAGGGTCAGCTCCTGGACCAAAAGGTCACTGTTTGGATTCCCGGTCGGGGCACAGGCCCGGGTTGCAGGCCTGATCCCCAGTGGGGGACGTGCAGGAGGCAGCCGATCGATGTTGCTCTCCCAGCCATGTTTCTATCTCTCTCCCTCTTCCTTCCTCTCTCTCTAAAACCAATAAAAACGTATTTTAAAAACTTAAAAAAAAAAGACAGAGGTGCCCGCAGCCAGGTGGCAGGGTGAGAGGGTGGGGGGGCCAGCCTGGGGCCAGGCCAGCTCTCCTGGGGGGCCCCCACTTGTCCCTGCTCATGAGCCTCTCTCTTTTCCAGACTCACTGCTCCTAAGATCCCAGAAGGGGAGAAAGTAGACTTCGATGTAAGTTTGTGGAACCTGGATCAACACGTCTCCATCCCCAA